GCTGAGGTTTCAGGAGCGAAAGTATAAAAGGAACAGATTGTGGAGAGACAGTAGGTTGGTCAGGAAGGAGGGTTGGTTGCTGGTTGGATTTGGGAAGTTGATGTTAGTTTCTGTTTCTCACTGAGCAGCTGCTTGGAGTCACAGGACTCTGTTTACATTCCAGAAACATTCCAGTCTCACGGGAAAGGGAGACGGGATGTGACGTCAGTGGTTTCCTGTTTCCTTTGTTCCTTTGTTCAGTTGCTCTCTGCTCTCACAGGGAGAGGATGTATATTTCTTTGCTCTCTGCGTAGCTAGAAAATAAAGCATAGCAATGTAGCTCATACTATCTCATCCTTCCGCATGCTGTTTTGATGCTCTGCTGGGACGACATGCCTGAGGCCTTATCAAAGGATCAGGTCGTCAATTAATCATCGGGAGGCGATTCCGAAGATGAGCCTTATCAGCTTGGTCAAACGGAGATTCCGACAGTTGGCTGATGTGAGGAGGGAAAGGGAGTGAGGTTGGTTGGTTCAGAGGTGGGTTTTGGAGTTGAGGTTAGTTAGATAGGGAGATAGGTAGAGATTTTGGGACAGTCAGGAGAGAGAGTTAGTTCAAGATAAACATCCACTCTGAGTGTAATATGGAAGGTACCTCAGGAGCAGGACTGTTTAAAGGGGTGTGTGTCTGAAGTAAAACCCTGGAAAGGAGCCAAACTCTAAAGCAGTACCTAAGTTTTATCCCTCTACGTTGTTATGCTACCTTGGATTTAAATAAAGCATTCTTGTTTATTTAAAAAGAAAACCTGACTGAGACTCCAATTCTTAGTTTTTCCCCCACGAAGGTCTCCCAACATTATATTCTGGGAACGTTTGTATGCCTGTGGGTTAATGGTTGTTCTGAGAGGTGGGGGCAACATAACCAAGTGAGAGCGGGTCCAACGGCAATAGGGAAAAAAATAATTAAGTGCCATTGCGCTCACTGGTGTCCTGTCCCGGTCCCATTTTATATTCTATAAATTCGATGAACCTATCCCTAGTCTATCAACAAAAACATTTCAAGGCCAAGGCGATGCTAATGATAAGCAGAGCTAAACATGTGAATGGGCGTTAAAGTTGGGTAACTAGCCTTTAAAATTGTTTATGTCTTACATTCAATTCATACTTGAATTATTAACTTTCACACCCAAGCTTGCAATGGCCAAATGATTCAAAGCAGAAGTCCAATTATAAAGTGTCAGTTGGCTTTTCCAGCCTGACACCATATTACTGCATCTCATTCCATCTGAAAGATTATGGCATGCAAGTTTACATGCAAATAGCAATTGCGAATACTTATTGAAAATATAACTTTTCACAAGAAAAATATTGTTTCATGGTGTCTCCTCCTTTGGCCTATAAATCAGCATGTAAAAAAGAGATAGTTTTGTGTCGGCAGCCCTTTATGTTAATAAACTGATTGCCCGGAGTAAAAATCTTTAATGTCAGGGACTATGAAATCTCATCAGCAGCCCACACAATGTTTTCCCCTTGCCAATCAGTAAAACACAACACATGACCCTGTTATGATAACAGCTCACTAAAACCGATTTAGTGCAATAAACTACGAAATAGCCTCAAACCCCAAGAAATATTAAATTCCAAGAGACTTACCCTGTGGAGGTGGTACAGAAATCCATAGCATAGCAAGTGGCACACCCAATCTCCTGCCATGCAGATGCAGCCTGGACAATGGGTGTGGGAGAGCTGTCCCTTTTTCACCCTTCCATTCTCCTCTCCCCCATTGACTACAATGCTCCAGGAGGTGCGTATGTAGGGGAATGAAGCTTAGAATCCTGAGCATCCATCTTGCCTCAAGAACACCTCACTGATGGCAGGACACCTGCAGAACTTTCCATGAATGTACCATGGGGCCTTCAATGTCAACTCGCTTTTGGGCTGCCCACTCCTACTGTGGAGTGGCACTTGTGTCGCATCCAATGATTCCTGAGAAGATCTTTGGCTGGTTCAGGACTGCAGCTATGGTTCTTTTGTGACTAACTTATCCCATTCGTTCCAATATAATGCAAGACCAACAATAATTCTTTGTGTATCTGTGTGTATCTGAAGAAGTGTGCATGCACACAAAAGCTTATACCAAGAACAAACTTAGTCGGTCTCTAAGGTGCTACTGGACAATTTTTTAAATTTTTAAAATATATTTCGACTGCGTCAGACCAACACAGCTACCTACCTGAATAATTCTTTGGTTTGGGACCTGTACCATGGACCCTAAAAGGTTTAAAATAGTTCTACAGCAAGAAACTCCATTTTGTTAAGATGAACTCTGTCACCTTCTTCAAATTTTTTTTAAAAAAAGAATATAAAAGCTATGCTAGCTAAATAACGTATGTTAATTATAATCAAATATAAAAATGAATTGTTTGTGACAACCAAGACTTGTACATAACACTATGGGAAAAAATGAAACTGGGTTTATTTGTTTTACAAGCTGTTCTGGGAATGCAATTGCTGTGATGTTGCATTTGTTTTTCCTGGTAAATATTCAAAAGGAACTGAAAGGGATGAAAAGTCTAATCCCCGCCCCCACTGAAATGTAACCTAACAGTCCGTATACCCCTATATCCACTTACCTCAGAAGATCCTGAGGAAGCTGCCTGCTGCGATAATTTTTTTTATCATTTGCTGTGTAGTGATATCCTTATTATAGGGACAAAGAATAGGAGGCTGGTATTCAGGTCATGGAATTACAGACAAATGATATTATTTACAATTATTTCTTAATTAACAAAAGACAAAAGTTTTTTAAAAAATGGTTTGCCAATAGAAACTGAAGGCTTTTGGAGCTGTATGTCCAGAGTTACCTCAGAACTCTTTGGACTTCTGAGGCAATTCAGTCAGTCAAACTGCCATTTGCCTCAGCATTCTGTAAGGCGAGACTTTCCAGAGAGCCATTACAATTTTGCTTTTTAGGAAAATCTTATTTAATGTGAACTACAGATTCCCCCCCCCCCCGAATGCTGTGACCATTTTAAAAAACATACTGCTATGAGTTTGAGGGGAATAGGCTGTTTGCCGAGACCCTTCTAAACCCTGGATACAGCAAGTGTTAAGCCAGCTAGCTTCCTGATGAGGTGATTGCCTGGGTGATGGGCCATTAAAGGGAACAAGGGAAGTGGATCTGTGTGAGATGGCGAATGGGTGTCATCCCGCCCCCAACTTGCTGGTAGTTGGAAAAAGACAAAGGCGAGAGCTGAGTGTTCAGTGAAGCAAAGAAACAAAAAGGCAAAGAGCAATGCTTGATTTCTGTTTGAATCTAACGCTGTGGCTATAGTAGAAACAAGACACTTTAGGGGTATTAATGCTGTGAGCCTCTCCTTCATAGGCTCAGGTTGTACATATGTGTAAATAAACCAGATATAAAAAAGTCACCACCATCGCTCCAAAAGGAAATATGAACCCTGGGTATGCGCCTGGAACCCCTGGAATCTCACACCACACAGATATTGGGGTGAAGTGCAACAGTTTTATCATTTGTTATCTGTTCTGTGGTGTTTTGATATATTACAAATCCACAAATGAAACATTTTAGAAATGAGAGCTTCTTCTCTTTCCAAACTGCCATCGTTTTAAGACAAAGCATAAAACAGGTTGTTCCTCTTCAACAGGGATTCCCATACTTCCTACCCCCAGAGAGCACTTGAGAAGGGGCTAAAAATTACTGAGGTCTACCAGTCACCAAATGGTGGTAGAGAGACAGTGCCAGTAAAAAATTAATAATAACTCTACCTACCTTAACTATAGGAGCACTGCCTTGCTCCTGTAACATATCACACACTATTTCTATAGTGTATGAACTGCTTCAAAATACAATTGAAAAGCAATTGTGGAGTTGATTTTACTAGCATAGGAAATATGTGACTCATATGAGAAACATATGGATACATGCCCTTAATCCAGATGCATTCAGCCAGTATTTTGCAAATTTAGGAAAGCACTGATAGCATAAATGATCACATATGTGTTTTTTAAAAACAATTTTGCTAGACTGTAACATAATGTCTATACTGCTATTTGTAGACCATTTCATACAATGGCTCAGACCCAGACAAAGTTATCCACACTTAGGTCCCATTGAAATTAATAGAATGTGTTAGTTATGACTAAGTTTTTAATGTGGATTTCAGTAGGACCTGTGTGACTTAACACTTCTGACTTGTTATGCACAGTCAGCACATCTTATTGTGATTCTGTTTGAGATATCCCACTTTACAAACTCTAGAATGTCAGTACTGTTACACTCCACCCAAACAAGTGGTGCGAGATGAGCTGCAGGCGCAATTTGCCCAGGGTCTGCCCAGGATTTTTACCCAGGCTTTACCCAGGACACATGGCCACCATATATCTCATGCTTTCTGCAGCCTATTCTAATTGACTGTATTGCATTTTGAACCCATCCAGTTGTATGATTCCCAATTTTGTGGTATCACTCATTTCAAAAATCTAAGAAGAAATCACTTGTGCTTTTCCCTATATAGCCACACATACAAACTTGGAGAAGTCCACTTCACACACTGAGAACTTTTGCTCAAATATGCCATAACTTATATTTTATATGCCTAGTTTCCATTCTTGGGGAACTATTCCTCATTTAAAATCTAAAATAGACAATATTATCTACTGTCTTTGAGACATTCATTCTTTTATTGCAGAGTATGAGCTTTAGAAAAATGGAAAGGGCATAGAAGTAATTATTTTTTTCCACCAAGATTCCTCAGAAAGGGAAACATTCCCTATCAAAAATATCCCTGAAATATGACCGAACAGCCTCACTCCTTTCCCCTCAGAAAGACAAAGCATTACCATAATTGTACTAGTATGATAATTGCACTGTTGTACTTCCCTGAAGTGAAGCGAGTGGGGAATCTACTGGCAAAAGACAGGGGGATTTCCAATTATGTCGTTTGTGGGGTTATTGGGTTTTTTTATATATATCCATGAAATAAATTCAGCTGAATTATCCCACATGTTGTGCTTGGAGGTATTCCCAGTGATTTGCTCAGCAGGAGACAAGTGGGAGACGGGCCCAAGCTCACCCAGATCCAGTTTTGATACCATAGCGATAGTTTATTTTCTAAATAAAACAATGACATCTACTTCTTCCCTTCAAGCTCTGCTTTATGTATAGCTGTTCATATTCTAAATTCTTTCCCTCTGCCTAGCCCTGTAAAGCTATAACTGGGAAGGTGCAGGAGATACCTGGCCACTGACGCTACAATAGTTCTGGCTAGATGATGATGAGTAGACTTCAGCATTGACAAGGTGAATTGTGTGTCAGTGGCACCAGATGATTAGGGGAACAGTACTATAGAGCCTGCAGTTAGTAATGGGATTTGTCAGAGGCACAACAAACGCAGGCAGCCAAATGAGTTATGGCATTGGACTTTCATTGACACAGAGATGAAGGAGTCAGTTCCTTGGAAGGGCAGGAGTGCGTCTGGTCGTTTAGTTCAACAGCTATGCTGCACTCTGCACAGTTTTCATTTAACATCTGTGTTTCAGTTTCTCCCATACCTAAAAAGCTCTCTAGCAGAGTTTAGTTTCTGTCCAATTGAAAAAGGCACAAGTGCAATATTGCTGGGAATTATAACATTTATTTAGGGTTGCATTCAGGGCAACACTTGGATAGATGTTCAACCAGCTCCTGCCTCCTTTAATTCTAGGTCCTTGCCGCAGGATCATATTCATCCAGTGCTTTACCAACTGCACTGGCTCCCGGTGAAGTACAGGGTCAGGTTTAAGGTGCTGGTTTTGACCTTGAAAGCCCTATGCGGCCTAGGACCCTCGTACCTACGGGACTGCCTCTCCTGGTATGCCCTGCGGAGGACCTTAAGGTCCACAAATAACAACACTTTGGTGGTCCCGAGCCTCAAGGAGGTTAGATTGGTTTCAACTAGGGCCATGGCCTTTTCAGCACTGGCCCTGACATGGTGGAACGCTCTGTCACAAGAGACTAGGGCCCTGCGGGACTTGACATCTTTCCGCAGGGCCTGCAAGACAGAGCTGTTCCGCCTGGCCTTTGGTTTGGACACGGTCTGACCCTTATGTTTCCCTCCCCTTATGGTCTTGATTTATCAGCTATTTTAAAACGAGGCTGCATTTTAAATTGAACTTTAACTTGTATTTTAAATTGGGGTTTTTTTCTCCCTCTCTTTTTCCCCTATGCTTTTATTGTGATTTTATTTTATTGGTATTAGCCACATTGAGCCCGGCTCTGGCTGGGGAGGGCGGGGTATAAATAAAAATTTATTATTTATTATTTTTTTATAGTTACAAAGATGAAAGGCTGCTCCCATCTGCATAGCTCTTTCCTGGATTGTGTTTCTTGGTCACACTAGGGTGGGGTGGGCATCTTTTTTGACCCCAAGAAGCACATGCTGATGAGCAAGCGGTGACTGTGGGTGTGGTCAGGCTCAGAATTTCCCTGATATACCCCAACATTCTTCACAAACAAACACACAGCCTTCCAACAGTACACATGCAACAGCTGCCGCAGGATGGCTGGGGAGAGCAGGTTTTAACCTACACCCCTCAACAATTCAAATGTGGGTCAGATCACTGTCCCTGCACTGCACAGGAACAGTCATAATTCCCCCTGCCACCCAGTTTATGGTTGATAAACTGGGCAGCAGGGGAAAGTGGGTTGGCTTGCCCAGGTCACACTGAATGTCATCTAGACTTTAGGGCAAAGACTAGGAACTGTTTTGGACATAAAATATTCTATAGCATGGCATTTCACAGGCAGAGTTATGGCCCTCCCTTTTCATCCAGGTGTTTCTCCCCCCATGGCCTCCTGGATCACTCTTTCCTCCCCACTCTCCACCTCTGGGTCTACACTCTTCTCCTCATGTTTCCTCTCCAGTTGTCCCTCCCGAAAATGTCTTTGGCTTTCTTTCCTCCATTTCTCACTTGCCCCCTGTTCTCTTATTCTAAGCTCTGGTTGCACAAGGTCTTTGGTGCCTAAGCACACAGCAACACCTTGTTCCTAATGCTATTGTAGCATCAGTAGTTGCCTGTCCTCATTAGCTGCAGATTCTCCCAACCTTGCAGGCAGGGTCCCCTCCATAGTCATCCCTCCCCACACTGCCCAAATAGCCTTTGCCATCTTCATGCACAGAGTGGGGGAGGAAGAGAACTTGAGATCGAACTGTGTGGCTGGAGCAGATACCACAAAAGCAGCCACTCTAACCACACCATCTTTTCTCCACCACTTTTTACCGCAGTAGAAAAAGGATGCAGCAACTGCAACAACAGCAGGAGGACAACAACAACAACAACAACAGTGAAGCACCAGAGAAATGGGAGAAGAAAGGAAGAAGAGGCAGAAATTCTTGAGCGTCAAGAGTAATGGTTAAGTATTATTTTCATCCTCCATGAATTGCTCTAATCATTTTAAGACTGTTGTTTTTCACTTGTTGATCTTCATCTGGAAAATATGTTGAAGAATTCAGAGAGTCTTAATGTTGCACTTCTCTTGGCTTGTATGTAGCACTGGCCTGCCTCCAAAAAGTCAAAGCCTACACATCTAGAAACACTTACTGCAAATTCTAATGTTCTCCTTATATGCAATGTTAATCCCTAAAAGATAAAAGAGCTTTGAATGATAAATTAACACATTCTGATAGCATGCTTTGATCTGTGAAAAATGCCAGAGGGTTCTGATATGCCAATTATAAAAAGAAATCTGATGGCAGTGGTGGGAAGGAATAGGGATTTAGAAAGTCTTCTGTCTCATTTAGTTGCATGCTATCAACAGCTGACAGCAAATAACCACCTTCACAGAGCTTTACTCAGTCGCAAGTGAAAAACTAGGCCAGAGTAAGGCCTGTATAAAGTGTAGCTTCCACAAAAGCAGCAGGAAGGGACTGGTATGGAGAACCAGCACATAACAGTTCCAGGAAATCATTTTATCCACATTTATTGTTGAACTTAGCATTCAGGTACAGTTCTATGGATGTCCCCACCTAATAATGATGTTTTCAGAAACCATAATAAAGCAACATTATATTGGGATGGCCCAAGTCTTTTCAATTGCTTTTTAAAGTATGGCATAACAAATAAGCATATAGAATCATAGAATCATAGAGTTGGAAGAGACCACAAGGGCCATCGAGTCCAACCCCCTGCCAAGCACGAAACACCATCAGAGCACTCCTGACATGCTCTACAACAGGGGTAGGTAACCTAAGGCCCATGGGCCAGATGAGGCCCAATCACCTTCTCAGTCCGGCCCACGGACTGTCCAGGAATAAGCGTGTTTTTACATGAGTAGAATGTGTCCTTTTATTTAAAATGCATCTCTGGGTTATTTGTGGGGCATAGGAATTCATTCATATTTTTTTTCAAAATATAGTCCGGCCTACCACATGGTCTGATGGACGGTGGACCAGCCCACAGCTGAAAAAGGTTGCTGACCCCTGCTCTACAACTAGTAATTTTCAAGCTATCTTGATGGGGTAAAGAAGCTTGCATGTTGGGTAGGCAACAGGGTCACCATTGTCACTATGTTCCTGTCCTCATACTTTTCCTAAATCATTTCTATTTCCCCATGTCTTTAGTGAACACCATCTTTCATCTCTTCAGCAGCTTCACTTAAATGTCCTCCATATGTTAAAGAAGCCTCTGAGTTATAGAGACATTGTATGAAGTAATGGTTACTGACATCAAGAAATACAGTTAACAGGTCAAGGAGGATTTTAAAAAGCCAACATTACTTTCAGTAAGCTCAAAATAAAAACAGTTCCCCAAATCCATGTAAACATCACATGAATCTGACTTGGGAGGCCATGCTTTATTCATGCATAAAATAATTTTATTTCAGTATTCGACTACTACCCCCAGTGGAATCAAATTGCTGCCCAGTGCTTCCTACATTTCCTGTGCTCTTGCTGGAAGTCATGGGAAAGGCAGATATAGTAGCTTTCTTCCACAGTTAACTTATGTTGCCGCAAGCAGTCACAAAAGAACTGAAGGAACATTTGGTGGAGGTGCTTTTGGGGAGGGTGACATAAAGGAACACCACATTCACATAGTTGCCATCTATCTCCGGAGACAATGGAGGAGTACGCCTTTGTGGTCAAACAGTTGACCACAAAGTTACTTGGTGTAACTGTAGAGACTGATATGGGAGACACATGTTTTGTTGCAGCTGGGGCTGATGAAGGCGCCCAGTTATGCTGCTGCAGCTGCACCATGGCGTTTCTTCTCTCTGCGCTCCTCCCAGCAGTGGGGGTTCCCTTGATGGTTCCCCAGCAGGTGCCTCCTACCACTCCTCTGCAGCCAGACAGTCCACGACAGCTGTCAGCCAGTGTCTTGGACCAAGACACTGCTACTTGGACCAATGATCTAAGTCAGTATAAGGTAACTGCCTACATTCCTATGCAACACATCCACACTGATGTCTGCCAAGGTTGACTCTAGAGTTTAGTGTTGGACCTCAGAATTGCCAAATGTGAACTGAGAGACCCTAAAAATGTGATTATTGCATTGCCCTCGGATAATGTGGTCAACGTACTGTCTTTTCAGTTGTTCTCCTAATTAAGGAATTCCCAATTAGCTTCCGCAGAATCTCTGGTTCCCTATGGATGGTTATGTCATATTCCTTGCTTAATACTTTTGAATTATTAGGTTGTAATGCTTAGCACATTTCAAATATTTGCAAACATTCAGTTCTGCTTGAATGTGAGCCTCTTTGTAAGTCACGTACATGGTTAAACTAAAAGTTTGACAGTGACGTCTTCACATTTCAGCCATGTTAGTTTCCAGTATATAGCATCTTCTTACTAGGAAAGGATATTACCAGTCGAGCTTGTACATCAAATTTCCTTCCACCATCCAAAATCCATCAACTTCATTTAAAATGTATTGTACACTTCCCGTTGTAGACAGCCAACATGTGTTAGCACAAGATGCATCTGGCATTAAAAGGCAGTATTACAAACCTCTGCTTTGGCAGAATTTGTATGACAAAATTCATATTTTGTCTAACTAAATGTGCACTTGACAGCTGATCCATAACCATCCTATATACTAATAGCAAAATTATTCTCCAATAATAAAAATAATAATTTATTATTTATACACCACCCATCTGGCTGGGTTTCCCCATTGTGGACTCTTACGCAGTCAGAACTTTACCATCCCTGCACAAGGGGCAAATATCAGCAGGCCTGAGGGAAAACAAAAAAATTGAAATAGTACCCAAACAAAAACCTTTTAAAAAAATACTCAGGGGAGGAACCTTAAAATGGCCAAATAACTGACCATGCTCAGTTGCAACAGAATACTGTCTGTCAGGGTAGGCTAATGAAAAACCCAAGAGGGGGAGACTGGAGAAACTTGGAAGAAGGCTGGCTGGCTGGCACCTTGAACAGGAGCGCTCCACGCTTCAACAAGGTCATATTTGTCTCTTCAAATAGCCATAAAGAAATCATAACTAACATAATTCTGATGTAACACAGAGGCATGCATGCAGAAGACAAGTCAAGAATTCAAAGACAATATCATAAGAACTAATTCACAGTTTAAATTCTTCCAAACTCCGATGACTGGATCTTGGGTCGCAATATTGTTGAGGTCAGATTACTGAACAAAGTAGACAAAGCTACCACATGCTAGGACTTCACAAAACTATAAATAAAAATTAGTGTTTGTCAAGGGGGTGGTTATTGTTTCATTGTTTCTAACTATTTGTGCTTTTATTTCATGTTTTGATCTTGTGAACCTCCCTGAAATTCTTTTCATGAAGGGTGATATATAAATCTAATAAATAAAATAGAATCAATTATCTTTGTTCTGTGTGCTGCTCAGCGTACCTGAGTTATCTTGTCACTTATGGTGTGCCTACTAGCTTGTAAAATATCTTAAAGTTGTGTCCTGTTTAAACTTAGAGCCTGTTGCACTGTGGTCTCCATCTGCCTCACAAATCTTTGTATCCGATCATACATTCTTTTTTTTAAAATATAATTTTTATTAACAGGCCAATCAAATCACATTATTTCCAAATCACATTAGTTCCAAATTATACAGCCAGATTTTAAAATTTTGTTGGGGGTGCCCATACTCCAAGCTCTGAACGGGGGTCCAAACATCACTTATATTGCTGCTTTAATTAGACAGTTCTATCTAGTTCTGTCCAGATAGTCTCTTTATTACTTTCTTCATCTTCTTGTTGTTATCGTATTTTCCTTTCTTTGCGATCTCTGATAATCTTCACAAGCGGGTTGGAAACAAACATCCTCTATGTGGGTTTTACACTCTCCAAAAATCATATCACATAGGGACAGACACCATTCCACACCTCCGTAGAGAATTTATCCTAGGTCTGTCCATTAATTTTCCCAGGCTTGCCAAGTATATCCGAGGGCTCTGCCAGGTTTAGATCACATTCCATTCATCATTCACATTCCGATGGTCCTGGTCCTCCTCCCCCCGTCTTTCTTAGACAAGCCTGTCTTAGCAAGACGCCATTTAAAACTGCGTCATAAAATTTTCCTCCGTTCTCCGATATTTACCAATCCTCTCTTTGATCAATAATTCACTCCACACAGTTCTTAAATTCCTGCTTCTGATTAATAAAATGCAACGATTCATCTTTCTGGGGTGGAGGGTTATTAATACTCACATAAGGCAAAGAAAAGAAAAGTTTTTTCCTCCACCCCCTTCCGTTTCACTCCAAACATACCAGTCTCTTAATGGTGGTTCATCACTTGATTTATTTGTACCGCCCATTGCTCCGGTCACAGAGATCCATTAATCAGCAGTCTTAACTCCCAAACTTCACTTGATGTATGTGCTTCAGCTTCTTTCCAATTAGATATTTCCAATTATATTTTCGAGCTGAAGCAAACCAGAGCATGATTGGAGAAAGCGTCAGGAAGAGCCGACTTCACCGAGGGCTTGTGCCAAGTGACCGGGCACCCCCTTCTTTCGATTCCGGGGGTGCATTATGGACACCGCTGGCAAGGCAGTCCCCCCCATCTCCTTGGGGGGTCGGGAAGGCTGCATACTTCCCATAGCAGCCTCTATGTGGGTCGGAGAGATGTTATTGTCGGCCATCTTCCAATGCGCCACCTGGTGGCCCCCCGTATCCGATCATACATTCTATTAATTTCAGACATTGCAAGTCAAGACAACCAAACATTTATGTCTGTGATGGTCCCATTTGTCAAATTCAGGTGTAGTATGAACTGAAAATCTTTTCATCTGGTCGTGAAGCTCCTGCTCAGAATGTTAAAGGACTTTCTGCACCTATGTGATCAGCATTCAGCAGACTAGACAACTGTTATGTGGGAACATGCACCTAAGTTCTTTAATGTTAACCCACTATTCTAAATTAAGCTCTCATTGGTTGCTATGTACTATATGATCAGACCATCCCCCATAGCAGCCTTTCATTTTGGGAATATCTTTGTGTCAGTTCTCTCAAAGGCTATTTCAAAAAATGTAATGAAATATGCATATGGGTTAGGGTTATGCAAATGCTCTGGGCTAGGAGTGGTAAAACAAAAATTCAGTTCTTGGAGAATATTATAAAATGCATGTATTTAGCACCACCAGCTTGGTTATACTAACATTAGCTGGGAGAAAACAACTTAACTTTTTCTCCACAGTCTCTGAGAAGGCTCATAAAAGCTGAGCCATACTGAGCTTGGGCATATTTGCTGCCCTTAATTTAGGCAGCCAAAATTATCATCCATTTCTGAAAAGCTAACGTCTACCTAAATTTTCTTTTGTCCTTATTTAAAGTGCATGGTGACATTTTATATAAGAGTTTCAACACACACAGCTCATTCTCTAGTTAATGGAGGAAAGTTGAAAGTGCATGCAAGGATAAACAAATTTGTCAACTTCTTAAAATGTTTATACTTCTTGGAAATGTAGTGTTTCTAAATATAAACCCTGTACTGTTAACATTCTGTTCAACGTTCTGAACAGCAAGTTCTACATACAAGTTCTACAACTGTTGCATAGAAATTAACAGGAACTACAGAGACAGGTTACTTGTGCCCCACAGGCAGAAGCATAGTGGATGAAGCCTCTTGGAAGAAACATGCAATGGCCACCGAAACTGAGTGTATAATGGCCGCAAACATTACTGGATACAGCTACACAGAGACAAGTGGCATGGCATAAGGTCAGCAACCTGTTTCTGACAACCCAAGTTTTGCGAGAATGTTTTGTTCAACCTAGGCTGCTAAAGTCATGCTGGGAAGTCATAAAGCATCAGCAATCAACAGCCCACACGATTATGTGCCCAAACAGCAGCCCCCTCTAAACTCTGGAGAATCACCTCCCCCCCAAAAAATCTCAAAACTCTAGCATTTTTCTTCTGTTGGCCACCAAATGTAGGGTGCTTGGATTGCTAAACATTCCACTTTCAAACAAACACAACATTTAAATTCAGCTCTAGTTAAAATGTGCAAATTATATGATTGCCTCTAGACTTTCTGTTTTGACTTAATTAACCCTTCTGGCAAGTACCCTGACTAGGGTGTTAAATAAATATTGTCGCTATTGGCCTTAGTCCAAAGAGCTGCATTAGGTATGTTGAGCAGCCTGCAAGCATCCACCTACTTTTGAAAAGAATATTGTTGTTTGAAAAGGAGAAGTTTGAAAAGTCTGAATCCCTTGTGTGCACACAGACAAGGAAGTTCTGGACTGTGGTGAATACGTTTTGGGTTTCTAGATATTTTTCACCCCGAACACCAACAGCTGTTACTTTGCGTTGTACATGACAGCATGATCAGCTGGTGTTGAAAGGTTAAAACTTTGTTGGTTTTCATTTCACTGCAGGAGAAGCAAAACCTTGTCCAGGAAGGACAATTCTTTAGCTACTTTCTTACTATAAGAATTCTGCAAGATAAAACAAACTTCATTAGGAACATTTTAAGAAAATGTTTTGAGTTGATCTTTGTTCATGGCTCGTCTCTGTACTGCTGTTCATTTTCCCTGTCAGTGTGTTGAATACTATATAAACAATATATTTTAAACCACAGTATCAGTACAAGAAAACACCTTTCCATGTGGCAATAATCACTCATTTTGACTCTCACGGGCCAAATCTTCATCCCTGGTAACTTACTTAAGCCCATTTTGTCATATATGACCAATCCTATTAAACAAAACTTTGATAAATTATCACAAAATCCAGCCAGACACCATTTCTCTCTCTAATACAAATTCTCCTTCTGCCACCTTCTGCTACAGACTAACCTTTTTGGATAGGATGGTGCTGTTTTTTTGTGTTAAAAGACATCCAGGCACTTCTCACTTATCCTAGTTTATTTCAGTATGATTTGTGATGCACCTTGTTCAGTTGTTTAATCACAATAATGTATAACCCGCTCCTCCACTGAGATCCTCCACTGAGATCACAGTGCTTAGGGCAGCCTACAATAATATAAAAGAAAACAAAAAACGAACAATACCATATTGTGAACCTGGATAAAGGCAGGGTGTAGTGCAGAGTTTGCTAGCTTTTTTTGGCTAATGGACACATTCTGAATTTTGAGAGAGCAATGTGGGCATCAGTCACAACATGGGTGCCATGAGGAATCATAGAATTGTAGAGTTGAAAGTCATCTATTCTAAACCCTGCAATGCAAGAATCCTGTCCACAGCAGTCCTTGGGTGGGCTTGAACCACCAACCTTCTGGTTAACAGTCAGACCCACTGAGCCATTGCACCACTAAATGGCATGACACAAAATTAAACAGACAACCACCCTCAACAACCTTATGTTTACCAAAGAAAGTGTCCCGAACACCTTGCTTACCTGGCAGCAAGTCAGTAGGCCAGGTCCAAAGTTCAAAGCCCAAGGGTCGATCCACACAAGCAAAGAATGCAGCCTAGAGTAAAACCTGAAGCACAGTCCCATGGAGGTCCAGGAGCATCCAAGTCAAGATCCATCAACATGGGCAGCTGAGTAGACACAGCACCTCAGCTCTGCTGCCCATTTAGACTTTACATGCTGATTGCAGCATCTGGGCTTGATGAGGCAATTAACCCTCACCTGTTCCAAGCCTACTCCAGCTGAGGAATCACACTCTGCCTCTCAGAGCTAATGAGCCCCACCTGGCCAGCTAGGGAGCTGGCTGTGGGCCCTTGCTTGCCTCAACCTCCTGGAGCACCCTGCCTGCTGCTCCCTATGCCTCAGAGCCCACCATGTCCATAGAGACAGGAGCCTGCTGCTCTGGTTCCAGTGCCCTTACTCCCATCTCCTCCTCATCCTCTGTCAACCCTTGAGTACTTCCCACACCAACCTCTCCTTCCCCATCCCTAGCTTGCCCCAGTGTGTCCCAGTCCCGGCTACACCCCTCGCCAGGATCCTCTTCCTCCTCTTTCTCCTTCCCATTGTCCTGCCAGTTTATGATACAACGTCTGCTACATCATGCTGGTCTTAATTATGGAAATCTCTCTCTCTCCCTCCCTCTCTCTCTCTCTCTCTCTCTCTCTCTGTGTGTGTGTGTGTTCATCCCTCTCTCGTGTTCACAGAGAGAGCTCCTGTTCCTGTCTAATAACAACAGGGAGCATTTATCAGCACCCAGGAAAATATACAAGGTAGCCATAATATTCCCATTTCACAGAAATCACTTAGAAAGTACTTGCACATTTTGCCCCAAGACCTCCTTTCCAGGATGGCTAGAGGGTTAACTTTAAAAATAAAATAAAAAGCTCAGAGTCTGGGGAATCTGCCCAAGGGCTCCACTGGAAGCCTTCAGGAGCATAATGGTGCCCATGGGTGCTGGGTTGGTGACCCCTGGTGAAGAATAATACCACAGAGTTAAATTTGGGCTTACCTCAGCCATTTCTTTATTGGGCAACTACACAAGTTTAACATCGCATTGGATGAGGACCCAACTTCTGGCTAATATTCTAGTACTGACCCAAGTTCTGGGGTTCAGCTTTAGGGGAGTGAACATGATTCATGAGTCCATCACTGAGTGAATAATTTCCATAGTGCCTTCAGGAAACCTGGGAGTGTGGTGACCTTGTAGCCAGTCAACACCGCCCCCCAGCTGGGGCTGTGGGCATACAGCAGCACCCAAGATCCCTTATGGGGATCCACCCCCTTGGGAAAGTGATGGGCCCATCCCCTGCTTAACCTGATTATGGATCCTTCCCACCGGAAGGAAGTTGTGACAATGTCAAGCATATCTACTTCTCCCCTTTTGCTATGAGGAAGAACCCCGCCCCCACTGCAGAGCAAGGCCCAATTGCACCTGTGGTTAAAATCCCTACATATCTCTGTCCATCAGTGGCTGACTACCATCCATAGCCCTGTACAATAGCAACTCCCAAGTGGTAAAAAAGCAGATCTGATGAACAAAACAAGGGGGGCTAGGTAGGGAAGTCACCAACAAGACTGCAACCATTTTGGTTTTTAGAATTGTGAACCATTTGAGAAGCCCAGACTAAAAAGCTAAGAAGTGGGCTATGATAATAATGCTCCAAGATCTGTGTTCAATATTTGAACCTTAGATTTAATATTTAATAAAGTTGGTACACAGAACTGTCTGGTACTGATATACATGCTAATAGGAAAGTTGTACAAAACAGCCATTTTCTTTTCCACTGTCATCTTATACAACGTTGCTTTACGGGGTTCAGTTGAGGCTTCAACTGGAAGCAGTACAATGCCACTTAAAAGGCTGTTCCCATTTGGGTTTTGACTTTGCCAGAATTGGGAAATGCTGGAATTCTCACATGTCCCATTTTTCTAATAATTTCAAACTGAGTAAGTAGGCAAATGAAGTTCTGGAAGGCTGTCCACATTTTTCTATTGTTCAGACCAAACCTCTGGGCCTAAAATTTGGCTCTGGCTCCTCCAACATAAAAATGCCATTATTTCCATTCATAAAATTCCCAGCTTTTACTGGGAATTAGCAGAGATGGTATCTGAGAGAAAAAAAGGGGGGGTTAATATCCTCTCCCCCAAATTTTCTGTTATGGAATGCCACCAAGATGTTTTTGACAAACCACTTTGCTGTTTTTTTATGCTCCAGGAGAGAGTTGGGAAAAACATGAAAGCAATATTGTACTACTTACGTGTAGTTAATCTGATGCACACATGGTACTGTTTCTGAGCCTTAGTTGAAAAAGGATGCAGACATTTTCAGGACAAATATTTACATCATTCAAAGTTGTTTGTACAAATGAAAACTCACTCAAGCCATCAGAAAGTTGCTTTCATTAATCATAGTCAAGCTGTAATCCTCAAGGGTTTATGGAAAACAAACAGTTCAAAAACAATTAAATGTATATGTGACAATTGATGCGAGGGACTTGCTTGGCATGAAACTGCTCTGGATGAGTACAGGGAAGAAAGGTGTTACAGGGCAAGACTAGATGAGGCTCAATTCAAGCAACAAGCAATTGTGTAAACGGCTGCTGAAAAGTAAATCACAGCTATTGGGCTCCAATCTGTAGCAGGGCCTTGGCAGGGTGTGTGTGTGTGTGTGTGTGTGTGTGTGTGTGTAAAGAGAGTTAACCCTTTGTCCACTGCAGCCATCTCAGTCTGGCCGAGGGCCCCTATGCCTGCTATTTGCATTGGGGAAGAAAAACTTACATTCACTCCAGTTGTGTTGACTGAGAAGTGGATGCCGTTTACTGCCTACTGAAAATGTAGCTTAATAAATTTAGGTAGGGATATCTTTCTGTAACTTTGCCATAATGTTAGCATCCATCTGTATAGAGAGACAATGGAAGAGTGTGCCATCGGTGGGCCACTCCCCACCTTAAAGCCATCTCTGCTTGCTTACAGGAGGCCTTGTTCAAGGTCATCCTCCGCTGGTATTAGATGCCAGTCAAAAATTAATCCCTCCCTTTTCTCTATGTTGGAAGGGCTGTGGAAAGCTTGGTTAATTTAATTATGTTTGGTGGGAATGCCCCCGTGTTAAAAACTTTTGAAATAGAGTATTCTCCATTATATCCACAATCACAAGCCAACCTCTTTCTCCAAATCCTGCCTCTTTGGATAGACTTGGGCTCCACTCTGCACCACATAGAACTACTAGGCTTCTTACTGATGGCAGCATAATATTTGGGTGAGTGTCTCACCAGACACAGGAGGCAGTGGCGTAGCGTGGGGGGTGCAGGGGAGCCAGCCGCACCGGGCGCAACATGGGGGGGGCGCGTGCTCGCACTCGCAGCTCTCTGCCCCTACTAAAATCCATGGGTTAGGGGACGCAAATTACTTGCCTTGCCCCGGGTGCTGACAACCCACGCTACGCCACTGACAGGAGGGCAATTTAAAGCATATCGAAGAGAGACACCTTCCAAGAATCATGAACCCCTTTCTTTAACTATGTTAATGGCCAAAACAAAGGCCTTGTTATACCAACCGTTCAATCTTCTCAATAGAGAGGTTACATTAAGTAATATGCTGGAACATTGAATGTGTAAATTTATGTCTAAAGTCAATGGATACAACAAACCCTATTTGATGTACTGCTGTACAAGTGTCTAATGGTTCTTGTATTTCTCTAAAAACCAATAAAATTAAACCACTGCAGTTACAGTGCCAAACTTGACAAGAGCCAGGGCACTCTTCAAATTTCCACTTGTCTTCTCAGCAGCCGTGGGGGGGGGGACATGCTAGAAGTGGGAGGGCATGTGGGGTGCCACCTCTTGTGCTTCTGCTGCCTGAGGCGGGAGCTTCATCCCCACCTCATTGGTGGGCCAGCTCTGCTACTTGTTGAAGTGTTTTCATTTATTGTTCTGCTAAAAAAGATTCATTTGCGGTTACTCAGCTCCATCCGTTATAGCACATGGGGCTTCTGGGTCACAGCCAGCAACTTTTATACAGAGACGCCCCACTGAAATTAGTGGACCTAAGTTAATGGATTAATTTCAGTGGAGAGTAAAAGTTAGCTGAGTCTACCCATTGTCTTCATTATGTTACATTAGGGCTAGCCAATATGGCACCCTTCAGATGATGTCCGACTCCAGCTCCCATCATCCCTGGCCACTGCCCATGCTAGCTGGGGCTGATGGGAGATAGAGTCCAGCAACATTGGGAGAGCACCAAATTGGCTATCCCTGTGTTGTTGTTTAGTCGTTTAGTCGTGTCCGACTCTTTGTGACCCCATGGACCAGAGCACACCAGGCACTTCTGTCCTCCACTGCCTCCCGCAGTTTGATCAAACTCATGCTGGTAGCTTCAAGAACACCATCCAACCATCTCATCCTCTGTTGTCCCCTTCTCCTTGTGCCCGCCATCTTTCCCAACATCAGGGTCTTTTCCAGGGAGTCTTCTCTTCTCATGAGGTGGTCAAAGTATTGGAGCCTCAGCTTCACGATCTGTCCTTCCAGTGAGCACTCAGGGCTGATTTCCTTAAGAATGGATACGTTTGATCTTCTTGCAGTCCATGGGACTCTCAAGAGTCTCCTCCAGCACCATAATTCAAACGCATCAATTCTTCGGCGATCAGCCTTCTTTATGGTCCAGCTCTCACTTCCATACATCACTACTGGGAAAACCATAGCTTTTACTATATGGACCTTTGTTGGCAAGGTGATGTCTCTACTTTTAAGATGCTGTCTAGGTTTGTCATTGCTTTTCTCCCAAGAAGCAGGCGTCTTTTAATTTTGTGACTGCTGTCACCATCTGCAGTGATCATGGAGCCCAAGAAAGTAAAATCTCTTACTGCCTCCATTTCTTCCCCTTCTATTTGCCAGGAGGTGATGGGACTAATGGCCATGATCTTCGTTTTTTTGATGTTGAGCTTCAGACCATATTTTGCGCTCTCCTCTTTCACCCTCAATAAAAGGTTCTTTAATTCCTCCTCACTTTCTGCCATCAAGGTTGTGTCATCTGCATATCTGAGGTTGTTGATATTTCTTCCGGCAATCTTAATTCCAGCTAGGGATTCATCCAGCCCAGCCTTTCACATGATGAATTCTGCATATAAGTTAAATAAGCAGGGAGACAATATACAGCCTTGTCGTACTCCTTCCCCAATTTTGAACCAATCAATTGTTCCATATCCAGTTCTAACTGTAGCTTCTTGTCCCACATAGAGATTTCTCAGGAGACAGATGAGGTGATCAGGCACTCCCATTTCTTTAAGAACTTGCCATAGTTTGCTGTGGTCTACACAGTCAAAGGCTTTTGCATAGTCAATAAAGCAGAAGTAGATGTCTTTCAGGAACTCTCTAGCTTTCTCCATAATCCAGCGCATGTTTGCAATTTGGTCTCTGGTTCCTCTGCCTCTTCTAAATCCAGCTTGCACTTCTGGGAGTTCTCGGTCCACATACTGCTTGAGCCTTCCTTGTAGAATTTTAAGCATAACCTTGCTAGCGTGTGAAATGAGTGAAATTGTGCGGTAGTTGGAGCATTCTTTGGCACTGCCCTTCTTTGGGATTGGGATGTAGACTGATCTTCTCCAATCCTCTGGCCACTGCTGAGTTTTCCAAACTTGCTGGCATATTGAGTGTAGCACCTTAACAGCATCATCTTTCAGAATTTTAAATAGTTCAGCTGGAATACCATCACTTCCACTGGCCTTGTTATTTGCAGTGCTTTCTAAGGCCCATTTGACTTCACTCTCCAGGATGTCTGGCTCAAGGTCAGCAACCACACTGCCTGGGGTGTATGAGACATCCATATCTTTCTGGTATAATTCCTCTGTGTATTCTTGCCACCTCTTCTTGATGTCTTCTGCTTCTGTTAGGTCCTTACCACTTTTGTCCTTTATTTGTCCCTGTGTTACAAAATACAAATACAAATACCTTTATTGGCATTACAAGTTAAAACATTTCAAAACACTAGGATAAATTTAAAAGGGACAGAATGAGGCTCAAACATTGTCCAGTAGCACCTTAAAAGGTAAAGGTAAAGGGACCATTAGGTCTAGTCGCGGACGACTCTGGGGTTGCGGTGCTCATCTCGCTTTATTGGCCAAAGGAGCCTTAGAGACCACCTAAGTTTGTTCTGGGTATAAGCTTTTGTGTGCATGCACACTTCTTCAGATACACTGAAACAGAAGTCACCAGACCCTTATATATAGTGGGGTGGTGTTGACTGTCGTCAACAGTTGTCTACAGGTTTACCATACCCATTGAGTCAATCATCCATCTCCTACTACCCTTCTGAGAAAAACCCCACCCCACCCTCCCACTATATAGAAGGGTCTGGTGACTTCTGTTTCAGTGTATCTGAAGAAGTGTGCATGTACACGGAAGCTTATACCCAGAACAAACTTAGTTGGCCTCTAAGGTGCTACTGGACAATTTTTTTATTTATTTCGACTGCATCAGACCAACATGGCTACCTACCTGAATCAGGAATGAGGCTGTCAAGGATCACAAGGTACTCTCTGCATTACATTATGAGAGACTTATAGAAGTGGAAAGTACCTTGAAACTCTTAGGAAGTCAAGTATATGAGAAGTGAACAATGCAGACTCCAGTTTGGCACACCAGTTTCTGTTTTCCTAATGCACATTGAGCAGTGTCGTACAGAGCCAAGATGTGCTTATGCCGGTTACACAGCCATTCTACCACAAGCTCATTTTTTGACCACAGAATAAAAATAAACAGTACTAAGTGGACTTTGCATGAACACAAGTGTGATATGATCTGACCCCGAGTGTGCCTCTAGTGCTACAACGTAGAGAGCCTGCTGCTTTTTTGTTTAAGATGAAGTCAGGAGGTCTGTGTTTCAGTCCCTCTGTATGTCAGCCAAGTGCGCAGCTGCCATACACATTCTTACTCAAATTAGCTTGCATGGTTGGCCTTTAACATTACCTCTCAATTCTGCAAAGCTCTATTCTGAAAGTTTGCTTCTCCGTGTTATCCTAAAGGCTCAAAGAAAAGCTTTGAGCAGCAGCCGAGACAAAATTGTGTCATAATTTCTTAACACTACAGCGTGTGACACCTGCTGCTTATGACGAGCCGCGAAAAGAGAGATGTGCCAGTAATTTAAACTGTTTACCAACATATGGATATTGCACTGCTTGTTTCTAGGACTCCAACTCGCTTTCAGAAGAGTGTGCCAACAGAATAGTTTACAAAGACATTCAAGACAGACACTAACCAGATCCACTATGGATTGATGTTAAGGATAAATGAGTTACACTCTCCTCTTTAGAATCATATCCAACAAGGTATCCATTTATAACTTGCCTGAGAAGTTATTATATTAACAGTGAAAATGAAGAGTCAAACCAGCTTGGAAACACATTCACATTACTAGCAGTTTAAAAAGCCCAACAGTAATACAAGGCCTTACCCAATCAATGGATTTCCATTTTTATCTATCTATCATCTATCTATCTATCTATCTATCTATCATCTATCTATCTATCTACTGATCAATCTATCTCCAAAGTCATTGAAGGGACATGGGACATATTTTGTAGGAAAAATAAGAGCAAAAGAAATCATGTATATAGCAATGGATATACAATTCAAGCTCATTCTCACACTCAGAAAGAGCAGGCGAGGCTACTATACTAAAAGATGAAGCATCTAATGTCTCTTTTTACACAACAGGAAAATGATGTCACCACAGTTCTGGAACTAGCTTGTGCCACGACAATTACAGCTATTAAACAGAATTAAATCATGCCTTTCAGATTTTCTACTTTTCCAACTAAGAACTCTGAAATCTTCCTGGCACACAGTGAAACAAACACTGTGCTCACATAGCATGGTTTTCCTGGAACATTCCTTGCTTGTTTTGAAAAACTCTTTTAAGCTCACATGTTAAATGCTTCTTAATGGGAGTATTTGCCATACCAACATATGTATTCAGACCAAAACACCTCCACCCATGATTTATGATGAACAATTCCCACTTCATTGTCACCTAAAAAGGCCTTGTGAGAGCTACAGTTAAAGAAATACTATGTTGGACTTCTAAGGTAGGGTTTCCAGACATTCCCATTTCCCGGGGTCAGTCCCCAGATTTGCGAATAAGTCCCTGGACAAATTCCATCCCTGGAATGTCCCCGGATTTCACCTAATGTCCCCGGGAAATGCAGCAGCGGCAGCCTCAGCAGCCCGGAGCAGTTGGCTCTGGCTGGCTTCAGGAGCTGCTAGGAATTCCCATATGATGGTGGTGCAGGGACTCCAAGATGCAGCTTCTAGGCTGCCTCCACCTTCCCTGACCCCAGCAACTAAGCTGTGAAGGGAGGCTTCATGCTGCCTATCGGAGGGGGCAGGGATCTCTCAGGCAACGGGAAGCCTCCCTTCCCAGCTACGGGATCCCCGCCCCCTCCTGTTTGCACACAAGTAGGAATGGGGTTGGGGTTGCTCCAATGGGAAGAGAGGCATCGCGCTGCCCGAGCCTTGCCGTCACTCGGCCCTTCTTCTCCGCCTTCCATGCCTGACCCACCCTGCACCACTTCCCCACCACCAAAGAACCAACAACTCAGTGGCTGCATAGGCTCATGGAGAAAGGAGATAGAAGCCTCGGATGAAGGGGAAATGTGGCGGTTGAGGTCAAGGCAGTGGCTGCCCCTCTGCCACCACCATTGATATCGCTGCAGCATCAATGTCCCGAACGTGTAGTATTTATGTATGTATTTGTTTGTTTATTGGAAGTGTCCCCGGATTCATTGGAAAAAAAACTGGTAGAAAGCACAATATTTCCCCCATACCAAAGCCATGTCCGCACTAGGACATTAATGCATATTTGAGTCAATGTTTCTGCGTACGCATTTGTACACCTACTGTCATGGTCCGGTCTATGGGTGATCAAAGTCCCGGCTGAGGACGTCAGGACAGGGGGCAAGATGGCAGGGTGGGAGCAGGAACGAGAGTCCAGAAGCCAGGGGTCCGAGGGTCAGGAAGCAGGGAGTCACGAAGTCAAGGGTCTGAGGGTCGAGAAGCAGGGAGTCAGGAAGCCAAGGTCCGAGGATCAGAAAGCAAGAAGCCAAACGCAGCAAGACAGGAAACGTGTTGCTGTGGCAAAGAGCTAAAGGGAAATGCTGACCTTATATCCCTTCCTGGCTCTAGCCACCAGATGCAGTGAGTTACCAAGCAGCCTCACCTGTGTGGCCGCGCCTTGCCTCTCCAGAACAAACTTAGGAAGGCCCCAGTCGTGCGAAACCCTACTGGTCACAGGGCCCAGCTCCTGCACACACTCCTGACAGGAAGAGGATGGATCTAGACACATCAAAAAAGTAATTCAGTTAAACGTGTTGTAAGCTTCTTAAAGGGAAATTCTGTTGGTGAAAGATGGGACTCCACAGCGCCATCTGGTGTCACAGTGTTATTATGCATATAAAGCGCTTTTTTGTTTACTAATGTAGCTGAGTCTGGACACACACACAAGCAGCTTCAAATCCACAATAAACTCTGGTGTGAACAAGCCCCAAGAAATATCACTTCATAGTGGCCATAATTTCATTTAAAATATTCAAGCTATTTACAGCGAAATACATAAAACCATAGAATCAAAACCTTTAAAAAGTTAAAAACAGACAGCAATTACCCATTGAGGAAAGATGTGTTCTTAACAGCTTGTGTAGGCCTGGCAGAATAAAAAAGATTTCAGCAGGCATTTAAAAGGTGAAACAGAAAGTGCTGAATTAATCTCTATTGGTAGAGTATATTATTGTTTGACTATTTGAAAAATATGGTACTGTAGGTAGATTGTGGAAGTTGTGTTAGATTTACTATCTGTGCCATATATGTATATTGCTAAAGTCCAGAAGAAAAAGTATTGCTTCCTTAATTTCAGAATGGTTTGAGAAAATTTGGGCTATAGTAATTACGACAAAGCTGCCACATTATAGAAGACAAGCAATGTTCAAGCTAACAGATTTTTAAGAAAACTGATCTTCGTTTGTTATATTTTGGAACGATAAATTTTAGAATATCCATCTACAGGTATGTTATACAGTGATTTTCATCTGTTGTAAAAATGGAACATTTGTGTGTGTGTCATTTTTATCAGAGCAGCTAAAGGTGGAAGCCGAAATGTTTTGCCACATAAATAAAAAATACTGTTTTGTTACTGGCTAACACATATATTGTATTTATATATTAATTAATTAAAACAACAACAGTAATAAAAAAGGAAGAAAGAAAATAAGATCAAGCAGATGAGCATTTCATAAGGGATCTGCAATATATGTTTCCTTGGAAGTAATTCCCAATCAATTCAGTCAAATTTATTTCCCAGAAAGCATCTGCATAATTTTAGCCTTAAAGTCTAGAAACAAGCTTGCTGATAAGAGGTCTAACTAATTCAGTCTCTAGAATTGATCAAATATTAGGCTGAAAGATATCTTGGTATGTTATGCATAGCTCTTAACATAGAATAGTCATCTGACAGGAGCAGCTCCTTCCAAGCAAAATGGAATTCAGCAACTGGAAGTTAATCTGAGACCAATTCAGCCTCAAAATAAAACATTGTGTAGCAGTAATGGTAATTAAAGACTAGTATTTGTCTCAGGAGACCTGGTAGACCCACTTTAGGTTAGATATTTCAAGTCACACTTCTGATCTTAAGGCACCGCCCATCAGATGCTGAAGGAGGCTGCTGTGTACAAGAATCTCCACCTATTGCAGAGGGGGAAACAGGAGTCTCTGGAACTGATGCGATTAAATATTGCCACTTATCTGGAAAACTGGGGCAATGGATATGGGGCAGGAACCACTGTATCTAACCCTCAATGTAGTCAGGGTGAGGTAAATGGTGGCACCCCTGCCCCAAAGCTGTGCTTTACCACCAGTCATGATTATTTTTTTTAAAAAATGTATTTTTAATTTGTGATATGTCATACAATGGCAGCCTCCATTTAAAGAATGACAGCTTGTTTTAAGAACAGAAGCAATTTGGGAATCGAACCCTCTGAAAAATTCAGTGACTAAGGCAGGGAGAGCACACAACGAAAGCCACACCTGCAAGAGCCTCCAAAAGTCTGCTCACTCAATCTGATTTGAGAGTGGAATTTTCATTATCACAATCACCGGATAATTGACATGACCCTTGAAGAGTAAAATACTAGTACTTTGTAGTATGTGCTAGAGTTAGACTCCACCCCTTGGACTTTCCATTGCTCTGATTTTCAGTTTCAGCTGTGTTCTCCACCCAGTCAGTAATAAAGAAGCATACTTGTTTTTCCTGCAATAAGAAGCAAAAGTTTGCTTATTCTGCAGTTATTTTGATGAGCACAGCAGGGTTTGATGCTCATTAAAATAAAGAGTTACCAAAAAGTGATCTGAAAAAGTATCTTTCCTCTTCTAAAGCACTCCCTATACTATACCCTCCAACATTTCTTCGATGAAAATAGGGACGTCCCATTCTATAATGATAACTTTGCTATTTGTACCCCACACATCTTACTGGGTTGCCCCAGCCACTCTGGACAGCTTCCAACATATATAAAACATAAAAAATCATTAAAAATTTTTTTAAAAAACCCTTCCCTATACAGGATTGCCTTCTGACAGCTCCAGGGTCAGATAACGCCATACCCTCCAACATTTCTCCGATGAAAACAGGGACATCCTAAGGAAAAGCAGGACATTCTGGAATCAAATCAGAAACCAGAATGGCTTCTCTAAATCAGGGGTGTCCCTGGAAAACAAGGACACTTTGAGGGTCTGCTATACACACAAACACAGTGGTTATTTTTTTTTCTTGAGTATATGATGGCAAATAATAAAAACAGTCCTAGAGGAACAGAAACATTGTGGTGCACAGAACAGTTAGCTTGGCTGGCCACCTAGGCTATAACTCAGGCCTAATTTCTGATTTTCCCAAATTCTAAGTTCCATGGGCAATTGTCTATATGCAGCCTACAATATACAGCCAACCCTGTGTTAATTCTCTCACTGGTTCTGGAAACAGTAAGTTGCTGTGAAGCTGGGCAACAGAGAAACCTCTGGATCTGTTTTGAAGTTAACAGAAAAGTCCTAGCACATGGTCAAGACATGGAATGCGACAGAACACAAAATGCTTGGGCCAAAAACACACTTATCAGACTACTCACACGAGACTGCAGGTGTGGGAATGTGCGTTTGACTGCCTCTGTACCTAATCCCTGTTCACGCAAAATTTGTATTTCAGAGAGAAGGATTCTAGCCCTGCTTCATTATATTTCTCAAAACATTGGATATACCAAAGTAGAGATTAACATGTCAGATATGTATGTTATCTTTCTGACACAGTTATATTTAAATACATAAATGAAAACTGAAAATTATTCCTTCAACACTTGACAGATGTGGTGCAACAGTCATGAATGCTAAAATAAAAACTAAGTCTATGGTCCTTTTATTAGCTTCATTGTTTTCAATCCTTGGTTTAAATTTTCATTGGCCTCCACGGTGTCTATGAACTTACTGTAACGGCAAACGTCATCCATAAAGAAAGTTGTGTATCAAGAGGGGTGGAGGGGTGGAGTTGTGACACAGGTGGGAGCTAGTTCTGGTTAAACTGGCAAAGTTTGAGAAGGAAGGAGGGGAGAGGTGTGTTTTTTTTAGGACTTTATAAACTATGGCATATTTTTAAAACAAATGTGCATTGCAATTCTTGGGAGCCTAACAAATCACACTCTGAAGAACCTTCCAAGCTGCACATGGTCTTTATGTCTCCCTTGTAAGTCCCACTAATGCCACAGTTGGCCCAAAGGATGTTAACAGGCCCCTTGCCTACTAATAATAGGCCTAACTTACAAACAGAACAAAATAATTGGCCCCGCTCCTGAACAAATTTAACTCATACGACTTAAAAATAGAATTTAGGAGAATGATAAAACGTGGAAAGAGAATGAAAGACGCCAAAAGACAGCAACACACTGCCCTGCCCTGCCTGAGGTGTGCAGCACTTGTAAACTACCAAAAGCGACATTTCAGATGTTTTCCATAACACGGCAGAGGCAACTGTTGGCTGCTTCGCAGTGCTATATATCCATGTACCCAAGAGAGCTGTGCACAGTAGGGGTGCCAGGTTATAAAATGGCACAATTCCACTGGGAGGCAAAGCAGAATGACACTCTCTTAGCACAGGAGCAGCTGCTCGAGGAAAACCATGTCAAACCAAGCAGCTGCTTCGTGTCTGTCATTTAAAATCAGCCTGGAGAATGGTGTACAAATTCTCTCATAGTTGCTAAATCAAGATAGCTTGGAGTTGTTTTGTAATGGGTTAATTTGAGCTAGGGGTCCTCAGGCTGAGCTCTGTTACCTGTTTTCATTGCTTTGAAAAAAATGTATTAATAATTTTTGAAAGCTGTTAACATGTGCAGAGTGCTTTCCCCTCATAATCCATACATCTGGGATTATGGGTAATCTGTGATAATGGCTCCCAGTTGGTGTTTTGTTTTTTTTAATAGGCAGGAAGGATTTTCTACATCTTGTTTTAGAAACTATACCCTGCATTTTTAATATACAAGATCTGATATGGAGTGAAATTCTTCCCCAACCAAAATCCAGGCTGGAACTCTGCCTTCCAGGCGGAATTGAAGTATTTCCAGAGTGGCATTAAAGACCTGCTTCTCTGAGTGCTGTTGTCAGGTCGTATAGTCCAGGGGCAGGAAATTGACTGTTTCCGGCAGGCCAGATTTTTACCTCACCCGCCCACCCTGCAGGCCAAGTTTCACAGGTGGGGTCACAATGACATCATGTATGCTGTTTTCGCCCACACAGGTTGAAAGCAAACCACACAGGCTGATTGTTGGGGTTTGCCAAGTCCAGTGTCCAATGCTCTGTGGGCACCACTGATTCAATTCCCTTCTGACTCAGTTGCATCTTTACCTGCCCCACACTGGACATAACATATGACATCAGGTCTAGTACAGGAGTTTTGGCTTGGCCAAATGGCCTTGATAGCCAAATTAGGAGCTGTGGCATAGCCTGCCTCTGTTTTCAGCTTCTCCTCCCCCCCCTTTCAGAAAATAAACTCTTCTTTCTAGGTCAGAGACACAGCAAGAGCTGTTGGAAAATATAGTTCTGGGGCTCCACTGTTATGTACTGAAGTTCTCACTCTGGGCCAGCAGGGGGATACTGTAGATAGTTTTCACTCAGGTCCACATATGCAAATAAGGAACTGAAAGTGACGTTCAGTGATTGGATAAGTTACAGAAAGTTGTTACTGTTGCTTTGTAGTTGAGCTCTATATAAGCAGGTTGCCTGAACTCTTCAGTCCTGTTTTGTTCTGGGCCTGTGAATAAACAAGAGCTGTTTGAAGAATCGCTGTGTCGTCTGATATGTTCACCCACAACTTAACATCCACAGTCTCCATGCAATACTAATCATGTTCTGGAAGCTCATTAACAGAGCTTTATAAAGCTCTGTTAAGGAAGTATGGCTAGCCCCTATCAATGGCCTATAGGAAGGAAGTTGAGCAGTTGGGGGAGTGGTGCAGGAAAAACAACTTACTGCTTAACTTAAAGAAAACAAAAGAGATCATTGTGGACTTTAGGAAATGTAAATTGAATATTCAGCCACTTATTATTGAGGGAAGTGCGTGGAACAGGTCTCAGTGTTTCGATTTCTGGGAATGGAGTTGAGAGACGACCTAACCTGGGGAGAGAACAGCAAAGAGCCTGGTGAAGAGAGCACAGCAGAGGTTATATTTTCTGAGAATCCTCCGGAAAAACAATCTCTCAAAGGACCTGTTGATGGCATTCTACCATTGCACTGTAGAGAGCGTACTAACTTATGGTCTGTGCGTGTGGTTTGGGAGCTGCACGGCCAGGGAAAAAACAATGCTATCCAGGGTTGTAAAGACTGCAGAGAGAATTATTGGGTGCACTCTTCCCACCTTAGATCAAATCTATGCTGCCAGGTGCCATAAGAAAGCGGCAGAGATAGCACATGATAGTACGCACCCCGGAAATGATCTCTTTCAGCTTCTGCCTTCTGGAAAAAAGTATAGGGTTATAAAGGCCAGGACTAGCCGCCTGAAAAACAGTTTCTACGCTAATGCAATTCTGGTTCTAAACGCAGCATAAGGGGTTTCTGTAGTATAGTGTGTTTTAAAATGGGGTTTTAGAGTTTTTAGGGGTTTTTGAATGTTTTATGTAGTTTTGTAGTAGTTTTATGTAGTTTTTATGTAGTTTTGTGGTAGTTTTATGTAGTTTTATGTAGTTTTATGTAGTTTTCAATTTCATTGTTCCGCAAGGGACAATGACAATAAAGATATCGTATCGTATCGTATCGTATCGTATCGTATCGTATCGTATCGTATGGTGGACTTTGGGCTCTCATATTTCAGGGGCGCCTTATGCAATGCTAAAATATTGTGCCCACCAAAACTTGCACTCCATTATACAGCATTGTTGTGGTCACGGCACCCTGAAACTGCCTCTGCCCACATCACATTCTCCGAATGGTCAGATTAACAAAAAGAATGTATATGGTAGCTGTTTGTGTTAGCAAATGTATTTCTCTTTTCCTGGAAATAGCGATTGGCATCTTTGTCAATAGCAAACATCACATTCTCCAAAGGCAGATAAATAGAGAGATTAACAAAAAAAGAACATGCATATATTAGCCAAAGGTATTTCTCTTTCCTGGAATAAACTATCAGATCTTTGTCATCAATTAATATTTTCCCTTTTAGACAAAACAATCACCTTTCAGACTAAACAGTTCTCATCCAGCCTGTTACAGGCAGTATTCACAATTAACAAAACAAAAGGGCTTGCTATCTCCATACTTTATTCAAAGCCATTATCTCAGCTTGGAGTGCATGCTGTGGTGATAGGAGTGCTTTAAAGCATCCCAGCGTTCTTTATCGCTGGTCTCAAACACAAGTCAGAGTTCTTTCGCTTGGACAGTACTTTTCCATTAGTCAGTATTTAGCCAATTTGTTAATATATTTATTTATATTTCATAAAATGCATGCTTGATTAAACAGAAAAAGAAACAACCCTCAAAGCAGTTTACAAAGAGAATGTTCCCTACTTCCAACACCATCATCGCATCAACACATTGGGACCACAAAGCTGCTCCTGTCTAACTGGCCCTGCAAATGGAAGAGATAGCATTTCAGAAAAAACTACCTTGGAGGTCCTGGCTTTCAACATCCTACCTAGCAACCTACATTTGGTTTCCAGGACCTCATAGCTACATTATCTCATATCATTGATGCCAACACGCACCATGACCACTGACTCCTCCCCAGCATTAACTCTCAAGCTATCTAGGCAACTGGCAACATCCACAGTCTTCATGCCAGGTAGGCAATTCACCCTGTTGTCTGTATGCCCATTGCACACCCAACCTTCTATGTACCTAATGATCAAATCACCCAGTACTCTGATCCTGCCACCCACTGGAGAAATGTCCTTGGTATGAGAGAATAAATGTTCGTCCCCCCAGAATTGGTATCTTCTGAGGAAGGTGGAGGTTTTACATGGCTTACTGAACACAAACCTTTGCATCACTTTCAAAGGAACAGCTTTAACATTTCAGGGGACAGCAGACCAAGGAATAGGTAAGGTCTCTATTGCCTGGTTGCCTGTTAATGAAGAAGCAGTGAGCTTAACTCTCATAGCATGGAATTCTCAATCTTAACCATGGCTCCTGATCTCCTTCCTTTCATTCAAATGCAGGATTACTCTAATGAGAAGCTGAGGAAAGTACAGCTTTGCTCCTCTTCCTATTAATGTTACAGAATCATAGAATTGTAGAGTTGGAAGGTATCCCAAGGATCATCGTCCAACCCCCTGTAATGCAAGAATCTCATCTGAAGCATCCGTGAAAGATGGTCATCCAATCTCTGCTTCAAAGCCTCTAAGGAAGGAGAGTCCACCACCTTCTGAGGGAGTCAAACATCTCTTACCATCAGAAAGTTCTTCCTGAAGTTTAGTTGGAATCTCCTTTCTTGTAATTTGATTCCATTGGTTCGCGTCCTACCCCTCTTTGTATATTATAGTAAATGGATGTTTCTTGTGTCTAAAGAAGCCTTTGGTGTGGTATGAATAAACGGTTGGAACACATTTTATAAACAAGCGTCAGGTCTGATTCCTGCAATAGTTCCCACCTCTCATAAGTATGGATTAGGGTCACATGTGGGATGCATGTGTAATAACAGAGGCTGGATCTAGACATATCAAAGAAGCATTTCAGTTAAACACATTGTAAATTTAAACAGGGAAAACAGGTAGAGAAAAACGGAACTCCACGGCACAGTGTTATATCGCATATACAACACATATTAATCACTTTTTCTTTACCAGTCTAGCTGAAAC